AAAACTTAGAACACACAGGAAAATACAATGAAACATTTTATACAGTCATTATTTTAACAGACATTTACTGGATTTATATTTTGTAAAAATAAGTTTAACAAAAATTTAAAGTTTTTGGTAGCCACCAAGTTTAGAATAAAGGAGCATCAGCTGCCACAACTTCATATATGAAAAAAAATCCCATTTCTTAAAACTCCTGGTTAATTAAAGCTATTGCAAAGATCAAAAGATCAGGATCACCTAGCTTAAAGATTCATAAGCAAACACTAAATAAAAATTTACATAAACATCATATAGAGCAGAAACCAAAAGAAAAAAGAAAGCTCATTTTTCCTATTCATTCATTACATTCAATATGTAGAATTTGTACTGAATCTATTTTATAACAAACACAGGAGGTAGCTCATATTCAGAATTTATTGTAATGATCTAGTCACTACAGACCAAGTATTATAAAAATTTTCCTTGCTTCCTTATTTAAAACCTGCTTAAATTTAGAATTTAGAATTAATGTTTTCATTTTTCACCTACTTCTAAAGGCATGTTTTCTTCAATGGACTGGGTTCAGGAAAGTTTCCATGGAATTTACAGAATTTAAAGAATTATTATAGAGACAGCTGCCAAATCACAGAGAAAGTCAGAAAATTTTGACTAAGGAAAGAACAAGACTAGTATTTGAAATATATTACCTGTTCCAAGTTTTGAAGGCATTGCTGGCTCGTTTGAACAGATATCCTTCCATAACAATACCATTTGCAGCATCTACATTATATTCTAACTTAGAATCATCACTGGAGAAATCCTAGATAAAATAACACATAAAAAAGTTTATATGACTTGACTAAGTTCCCTAGACAACAAATGTGTCCTAGAGAAAGAGCACAAAAGGTAGAAAAGGTTTGGTATTAAGACAGTTACAACAATATTCATATGAAAGGGGAAGGGGGACCTAAATGATCAATAATAGAGGAATGCTTCAACATATTATAGCATTTCAACTCAACAGACTATTATGCAATACTTATTATGATGATATAAAAACAGATAATTACATAGAATATACTGCAAAAAAGAAAAGAAAACGATATTTGTATATATGCTGTGATTTAAAGCACAAAATAATATATATGCAAACAGACAAAAGAACAATTAAATATTACACGGAGTGTTACGTTTACAATGTTTTTGTTTTACCCCAATATTTTATGGTGATATGTGTTATCAATATTTTAAAAGGCATATGGATATATTTAATTGGGATTATTTAAATCTACCACTATTTTCTAAACATATTACTACCATGGTAATTTTTTAATCTGATAGGAGTAATAACTCCACCATTTGGGAAGTTCAGAAACAGAATAAAGGATCTGTGGCATTTTTTTCCTGAAATAAAACTCACTTTTGCAAAGGAGAAGGATCTTAGACCACAGTTTAAAGTGGGCTTGTTGAGCTCATTTTTTTCCTGAGGACTATGATATTACTCATAGTCTTCTCCTATCATTCTAATCATTCAAGCTGTCACTTCAATGCAATATAAACTGTCAGTTTTTCTCTAAGGATTCATGAAGTTTGGAAATCAAGAATCCAATATTTAAAGTATTTCCTAACAAACTTCCAAAGTATTTTGAACAAAACCAAGATTGCTGCTATCAGCAAGTTTAAAACTCTAAAAATCAGTCTCAGAACTTTCGAAATTACTCCTGAAGCAATGATTAAAATTAGAATACTATCCTATTAGGGAGCAGTAAACTTCCTGTCTTTCAAGTAAACTTCCTGCCTTGAGAAACATTTTGGCAGAGACTATATAAGGACCTGCTGAGAATGCTGAGATGTGGGGGCCCTGCATTGGAGGGGAGACAGAATAAGAATCACCTAAGAGCCTTCCAAATCTAAGAGTCTAATAAGATGGAAAAAAAAATTGACTGAAGTCAGAATTAAAAAAACAACAACTCTCTCCTGATACCTTTCAAAGTTTAACCATAAAACGACATAAAAATCTAAAATAATCAAATGAAACAGAATCTGTAAATGAATTACTACATTTTTTCCTACTTTTTCTTTAAAAAAAAAAAATCAGGCAAACTTTAATTTCCCTATCTAAAATTTACTTGAGGCTATAATTTAATTATGCAGACAGGATTAAGTGAGCAATAGATATAACTGATTTTGGAAACATTCTAAAGATTTCATTTGTATGTAACACCACAGTTTTTTAATAATCATGATGCTACTTAAAACACAAAATAAGACTTCCTTGAAAGTGCAGTGTATTGTGTTTCTCTAATTTTTAACTATATTTCTTGAGATAAATTAAATCTTCAATTTAATTACCATTAATATTAATATTTAATAGTACTTAAAATATGACAGATTTCATAATGTTAGCAACTAACAATGGATGAAATATATACTGTTAAAATCTCCTTAAATACATTGATGATCTGACAAATTAGGAAGGAATACTCAAAGGCAAAAGATTGAGTGAAAATTAGAAGCCAACAAGGTAAGCAGAGCAAGGGATCCAGCCTTCACCTTAAGGGCATTTGCCTATCAGGAAAACTTGAGTTTTGGTGTGGGGTCCAGGGAACAGAAGGCAAAACCAATGTTGGTAAATAAAGGAATCTAACAGAAGCTTTCCCTTTGAAAGTGCAAATAAGACAAGAAAAACCATCATTACCACTTCCATTCAAGATTATGATAAAAGACCTAGCCAGCAAGATACAGAAAAGTACAGGATTGGAAAGAAAGAAACAAATTATCATTATTTATGGATGATAAGACTTTATACATAGACCATCCAAAAGAATCCAGAGATAAATCAAGTATCAAAAGAGAGCTCAGCAAGATTACTCATTACAAAATACAGAAAAATAATTTTATTCTAATATTACAGAAGGAAACAGTGAGAAAATAAGTTTTTAAAAGGTAACATTTACAATAACATTTGTAATACAAGTGTCTAGGAATAAGTCTAACAAACGATGTACAAGAAAATAATAAAACTTTATGAAAGCCATCAAAGAAAACTGAAATAAATGGAGAATATACCAACCTCATGGATTAGAAGGAATAAAATATCAATTTTCTCCCAAATTGATTCATAGATCTAACATAATCCCAACCATAATCCCAAAAGCTGTTTTTATGGAAAATTTAAAAGCTACTTCCGAAATGTATATGGAAATGCAAAACTAAGCAGGTTACCTTTGAAGAAGAGAAGGTAGGAAGCTTTGTTTTATCAGGTATCAAGATTTTCTACAAAGCTAAAAATAGTCAAGACAGCAGAGTATTGGCACTTTAGACTAACAGACCAATGGAACAGAATAGAGAGCCTGAAACAGGCCTCACAGAGGTGGAAATGAGAAATATAACACTGGGTATACGACAGAGTAGTGAGGAGAGGGCATAAATAACTGATCTGGATCACCTAGCCACTAATGGGAGAATGAAAGGAAATTGGATCTCTACTTCATACCACACACAAAAACCCAATAACAGATGGATTAAATGTCTAAACATGAAAAGCAAATATGTACAGGAGATCTCTCGTGATCTTGAGGTGGGAAGGACACAAAAAGCACCAAACATGAGATTGATAAAATAAGCTATACGGAAATTAAAGATACATATATCCCAAAAGGGGATTATATCCAGAATATATTAAGAATTGATCAACAATTGAGGCAACCTGGTAAAAAATGAGAGAAAGACTAATAGGCATTTATAAGATATCCAAATGACGAATAAATATAAGATATGGTGCTTGAGTTCTCTAGTCACTAAAGAAGTATAAATTAAAAACCACAATAAGATGTTAATATCTACCCACCAATTGGCAAAAATTAAAAATTCTCACAATATAATGCTGTGGCAAGAAGCAATGGGAACTCTCACACAGTGCTGCCTGCCAGAAATGGTATAACATTTTGAAAAACAATTTAGTATTACATACTAACCCTAATACAATTTGAAACAATTTAGCATTATCTACTAATGCTAATACACCCTGTGACCCAGCAGTTTTACTCCTAAGTATAAGCCCAACAGAAATGTGTGCATAAATCCAAAAGGCATGTACAGGCCAGGACAGTGGCTCACACCTGTAATCACAGAACTTTGGGAGGCCCAGGCAGGAGGATTGCTTGAGGTCAGGAGTTCCAGACCAGCCTGAGCAACACAGAGAGACCACGTTTCGCAAAAAATAAAAAAGTGTCCAGGCGTGGTTACACACGCCTGTAGTCCTAGTTACTTGGGAGGCTGAGGCAGGAGGATAGCTTGAGCAGAGGAGTTCTGAGGTTACAGTGAACTACGAAAGCACCATTGCACTCTAGCTTGAGTGACAAAGTGAGACTGTCTCTTAAAAAAAAAAAAAAGGCATGTACACGTTTCTTTAGCTGACCAATTTCAATTCTTAAAAAAGCTAAGTAATTAAACTAGACATACTTTCCCTTAATTTTTAGTTGGCTGGATTTTTTTTTTTTTTTTTTACCTGTAATGCAGCCTTGTGTCAGCATTTAAGGACAGAAAAGAGGTGAGTATTCATAATGAGCAAAAATAGGACATAGCATTGTTTTCTTTAAAGGAAAACAGTTGAGTATTATTTAAAATCAAATAAATTAATCTTAGATTTATAATTTACCATTTTTGGACCTTCAATACAACACTGAACTACCCATAGGAAAAGATGTTAAAACATGTATAATATTCATTAAATAACTTAACTCAAGCAAATAGGCACATATTTCTACAAATATGATCTCTTATTTTAATTAAAAACAGCCAGTCTCAATTTTTAACAATCTTTTCATGGTAATGTCATTAAAACAAGTTATCCATCAAAACATCATGTTGTACATGCTAAATATATACAATTTTTATTTGTCAACTTAAAAATATATAGTTACCCAACCAAAAGTTAAACTAACTTTAAGCAAAACAAAAGAAAATAAGGAGTTAGTCTTACGTGACACTAGATAGGAAGTAAGTAATTTAAAGATGGTTTGGTAGAAAATCTTTTCCTTTTTCTAATATTGTTTCCCATTGAGCATTAGTAATCCATCATCGATTAAATTTTTTCTACTTTTATTACTGTTTTTGATTTCATTTTTTTCCACTGAAAACTTCTATGTCAGATCTAGTTTACTGGTATTTTAAATTCTAAATAAACCATAAGAAAAGTTGATTTGACTGCTCAATACCAAGAAAACAGATTTCTTAGAGCAATGCCAGAAGGTAACTTGTCACACACTTATATTATTGCATTGAACCTTCAACTCTCTCCTTTCATTTTCAGATCACTACACAAAAAATATCACTGACATATTATATAAGATAAAATATTGTTACGTTGAGTTTCAGACATATCACACTCAACTCTTTCCTCATGAAGAAATAAAAACTGTTTAATATTTGAGTTTTTATGTTTCAAACATATTTTTCAAAAATTAGTTTAGCTAGGCTTTGGCAATTTAACAAGCAATGCAAGTGAAGTTTCAGCATCACATGAGAGAAGGGAGTGATACCTCAGAGTGACTGCAGCTGGAAAGTCCATTGTCACTGAAGTGTGGGTGCCCTCTCTTGCTCCTCCCCCACCTCTTTCTTGCTCTTGCGCTTGTGCACGTGCGCGCTCTCTCTCTCTCTCTCTCTCCCTCTCTCTCTCTCTCACACACACACACACACACACACACACACACATTTACAGGGGGTTGGTGATATCCTAAATGAAACTACAAATAGTGTTTCAAATTCTCACTAAAGGCCACTTTTAACTGACTGAAGGCCCTAAGAAATTAAAGTTTTTATAAACTGACTGTCAAGAGCATGACTTTCAATTGTTTTGATCTGAAAGGACAGTAAAATACATACCTTAACATCTGAAAAATATTTCACTTTTCACAAAAAGAGGAGGAATTTATCTACACAATTCAATGATTAAAGCAAATCAAAGGATTTGTTCCAACACAATAGTACCTTGCATAAACCAATAATGAAACAATTGTGTAAAATGGGAATTAGTCTCCTTTAACTTTTCCCCTCAGGTACCTTTTGTTGGATGGTGGAATGTTTTTGCTCCATCTCTCTTTTCTCTTTTGCTGCATCCACAACCAGTCGATCCAACTTAAGGGGGGAAGGGGAGAGAAAATTGTAGACTTAAAAATCAAAGGAAAAAAGGTATGATTATTTTTTCAAACCATATTCCAAGTCATTTCACAGATAAACATAGCAATAAATCATTTAATTTAAGCTTAATTAAAAAGGCATTTTGGCTAAACTTTAAAGTAGTTCACATTTTTTCTGGTATCACACCCTCTTGAGAAGATCCATTTTCTCCTCTGGAGACAATGTTTCCAAGAATAGTCACTGTGCCACACATACATATGTGACCGGAGGCCTTGTGACAGGCACTGCAGTGATACATGTTCACTCCTCAAATAAGGTAAATGACTCCAGCGTAAGTTGCCTGCTGACCCACTCAGCAAACTCTGGTAGTTACAATCCAAGATATAAAGAAAAGACACTGTGATTTTTTTTCCAAATAGCAAAAAGTAGTGCAGCTAAACTAGTGCAGCCAGCTCTCAAAAGTTTACTGTACAGCTACCTTTTTCACATTTCCCTAAACTTCATTTTTCATCCTTAATCCACTCCCCTCAGAAAGTAAATTAAACCATCTTGGGAAAGAAAATCACCTAAAAATTGAAATTATCAAATCGAAAAAGCTCATCAATAAAAAAACACCCCCAGAATAGATCTAATTAAAATTCTGATCATATATGAAAAATAATTTAAAAGAATGACATTTCTATACATATAAAACTCTTACGTGTATGTATAATTCTTATACACACACAGATACACACTGTGTGAAATGAAAAGATTTCTAGGGGCTCTATAATTTTAAGAGTTTATAATATTATTCAAATAGCAAAATATATGATGTTTCTTTGGAAAATAAAAAAGCTAGGACCCAAAAAGCAAGTTAGGACAATAACTTAATTATCCAAATGTAAGAAATTAAAAAATAAATCCAGCTGTGTATACTGCAAAACAAATACTTTATTTTTAAATTCTCCTTTTCAGTGCCCTCATATATAATCTATAACATAAGGTTATTTTTACCTTTGATTTCATTTTTGGCTATATATTTAACCCATGCAAAAATTTGCTGTAGCATCAAACTCCTTCATTAAGTACATGAACTGTCAAATACCTCAATATGCTAAATTTCTTTAAAAATACAAATATCAGTGTATACTACAAAATCAAGAAATATAGTCCAATATTACCTGTGCTCCAAGATCTTTCATGTAGGGCCCGAGTTCACTAAACAGATCATATCCTTGATGAAAGAAGGCCAAATGGGCATACATAAAGGATAGCATCTAATAAGGGAAAAAAGATTACCATTTTAAAATCTGTTCTTAGATTAATATTCTGAAATTTTAAAAAATCCTGATCCTTTCAACCTGAAAATGCTAATTTAAAAAAAAAAAAAAGAAAGTAAGAAATCCCAATCCTATTTAAAAATTATTCTACAAGAGCCCAAAACATCAAACCTATTTAAAATTAAACTGAGCCATTTTTCTTAAAAGAGTATTTCAGAAATATTTGCAAATACAATAAGAATAAATTTTATTTAAAAGAAATTCCCCAGTGGTTTAAAATCTTTTAAATGCCCAACATTTTAGTTGTTTAGACTGTATCTAGATGATTAAAATGAATCAAATAATCAAATTTTTGATAGCTTCACTATCTTCCCAGGTGTATTACAAAATATCTATGTGCTTCTTCAACCAAATTCACTGGCAAACCTTAAATTGTAAGTAAGATATAAAAAGATAAAAAGGGGAAATATAAAGCTCTCGAAATAATCACAAACATTTTACAACCTACTAGATCACCAAACAAAACTTGAACTGGGTAAGTGTTCATGTTTTCCTCAAAATACCAAAATAAAATAAATTACAACAGATTTTGCCAATATGGGGTTTTCTTTATAGTCATTCCATAAATCCAAAAATGGTATCAATGGATTCAGTTTTCTCCAAGTTTTCCTATATTTTACCTATTCATGACAGAAAAATCGCCCCCATTTTTATTAGTTTTTACATGGGAAGGAATCATATAATTAAATGCATAATACTGAAAAAAACTTCTAAACATCCATGTTATTTTTAGCAAAAAGAGGTATCTGTTTAATTCTCTGAAGTCTAAAATAGGTAATAAGGTCTTTAATACTCAAAAATCCTCCAAAAAAAATTTTCTTTCCAAGAGAAAAACCTATTAAATAAAACACAAAGACAAAAGAAAAAAATTCACAAAAGAAAAATTATTCTGGACTAAGATAATGGTAAACTTTGTGAATAGAATAAAACTATTACATAAAGTAATAAAAAACACTAAATCGTTTTTTTAAAAAAAATACAGCTGGGAGATTAATAGCTAGGACTACATGTAAAATATGCCTGTATATCAAAACAAAAAAGGCATATTAAAGAAATCATAAACTAAGAAAAAACACATAACAAAAAACAAATACATTAGTAGTCTTAATATGCAAGAAATATTACAAATCAGTATGAAAAAGATGAATATTCTAACAGAAAAAGAGATAAAGGACATATATAGGGTATATAAGTGGCAAAAAAATATGGAAAAAAATGCTCTAACTCATCTATATTAACAAAACACAAAATTGAATAATGAGATCATACTTTCTATCTACCAAATTGAGGGTAGGGTGGGGGAAACCGTAATATTCAGTGTTGGTAAAATGTGAAGAAATGTTCATTGTCACACAGTATTAGTAGAAATATTGCATAACCCTTGAAATTTGAAATATTTTTTAAAAGCTTTAATCAGTGCTCAAATTCTCTAAGTAATTCCTTATCTATAATTCTATCCTAAGGAAATAATCAGAGTATTCATTAGAATGATCACTACAGTGCTATGTTTTAATGTCAAAAACATGGAAACTACTTAAATGTCCATTAATAGGTGAAGTTAATTTATGGTATTTTCATTCAAAGTCAGCAAACTATGATCTGCAAACTACATCCAGCCCCACCACCAGTTTTTGGATAACCCATGAGCTAAGAATAGTTTTTACATTTTTAAATGGTTGAAAAAAAATGAAGATATATGAAATCATAACACATTTGAAAAGTATATGAAATTCAAATTTCTGTGTCCATAAATAAAGTTTTATTGGAACACAGCCATGACCACTCACTTACATACTGTCTATGGCTGCTTTCTCATTACAAGGGCACAGCTGAGTAATCGCAACAGAGACCACAAGGCCTGTAAAACCTACCCTATGTACTACTTGGCCCTTTACAAGAAAAGTCTGCCCGCCCTTAGTATATTCATGTGGTAGAATTCTACCTGGCCACAAAAGCCATCATTAAATAAAGAACATTTAATGACACATGATTTTGCAATCCATTAATGAAAAAAAAAAATTTATAAAATGGTATGTAGGAATGATCAATTTTGTTTAAAAATATTAAATGCAATTTTAAAAGGCAGATATACATGTTCACATACAAAGAAAGAGAGAAAAAAGATGAAGATATATGCCAAGATAGTAACAATATTTACAGTGGTTCTCCCTTGGTAGTAAAATTTATAAGTGGTTTTTTATGTTTTTTTTTAGACATTTTCTAATTTTCTACAATAAACACATATTACTGGCCGGGCACGGTGGTTCACGCCTGTAATCCTAGCACTCTGGGAGGCCGAGGCGGGTGGATCGCTCAAGGTCAGAAGCTCGAGACCAGCCTGAGCAAGAGCAAGACCTCGTCTCTACTAAAAAATAGAAAGAAATGATCTGGACAACTAAAAATATATACGTATATAGAAAAAATTAGCCGGGCATGGTGGCGCCTGCCTGTAGTCCCAGCTACTCGGGAGGCTGAGGCAGAAGGATCACCTGAGCCCAGGAGTTTGAGGTTGCTGTGAGCTAGGCTGACGCCACGGCACTCACTCTAGCCCGGGCAACAGAGTGGGACTCTGTCTCAAAAAAAAAAAACAAAAAAAAACCACATATTACTGTCAATCTACAAAATGGGTGAGGAGCGTGATAAATATTGTCTTTTAAAAAACAAGAAGTACAATGTATTTACCTGATATAATATGAATATATATATAAAATTTAGGAAAAAGCTAAGTGAGGACAAGGATCTAAAGCAATTTAAGTATAGCCTTTTGAGGGGAAAATAAATTCAGTAAGTAAATTCAGAAGTTCTCTAAATACGAAGAGTAACATGCCATGCCACTACCATCCTCTGCCCACTTATTTGTTATCTTTGAGACAAAAATATGGGCAGGCCAGGTACAGTAGCTCATGCCTATAATCCCAGTGCTTTGGGTGGCCAAGGCAGAAGGATTGCTCTAGGCCAACCGTTCAAGACGAGCCTGGGTAACATAGCGAGAATTCGTACAAAAAAGGTTTTTAAAAAAATCGGCCAGGCTAATAATAAGAAAATGAGCCAGCATGGCGGCATGAATCTGTAGTCCTAGCTACTCAGGAAGCTGAGGCAGGAGGATTGCTTGAGCCCAGGAGTGCAAGGTTGCAAGGAGCTGTGATTACGCCACTTGTACTCCAGCCTGGGTAACAGAGCAAGACCCTGTCTCAAAACAGGGGGAAAGGCGGGCAGAGAAGTAAAAAAAAAAAATTATTGTCACCACAGGTAAAGAGGCTCAGGAATAAAAGTGATTCTCAAATTTCATCCCATTGGTTTTATAACTGCATACCAAAGAACAAAAGACAGACACATCATCAATCCTAAGGGGAAAATTCTTGAAGTGACACTATTCATGTAAATTCTCAATCTTGAATATTTTAAAAATCCAAATAACACATAAAATTATAGAGAAAAATAAAATATGTTGAAAGAAGTTGGGTAGAAAATTTTTAAAAGCAAATAAAATTGAGAGAAAATTCCAAATCTAAATGTAATACTATTTTATTTTCATAAATTTCAAAATAAATCCTGAAATATTCTAGCATGTTTTTACACCAACCATTTCCAATTATTCACCAAATAGCACTGAACATCACATTAGGATAAGAGAATATAAACACAACATATAGAAATCTGCCTTTACAGAGTTCACAGTGTATTAACAGACAAGACACACATGAACAACTATAACACGAAGGAGACAAAAAGTGGTTAAGTGCCATATAAGAAATACAAATAAAGATCAAAAAGAAGTAATAGCTATTATGGACCTGGAATATATATACCAGATTCTGCTTTAAACACTTAAATATGTACATTTAGTTTCATATTAAAATACTTAAAAGATCATTTCAATTATATCTTACTGATTTTAGGATTTCTGATCTCCTTTTTGATTGAAGAACATTAATCTGAGGGAAAATACACTCAGTTAATCACTCATCATTATTTTAAAGACTAATCCATAATGCAATATTATAAAACTTGCTTAGTTTAATGGTTTAATACTTTTCCAAAAAGCAAATAAAAACAAAGTTCAAGTTTTTTCATCCTTCGACCCTCTTTTTGCAAAAAACAATTAAGACAAACATACCAATGAAATTCTCATCCATTTTTGAGTTCAAAGAAAACTGGACATTTAAATTATATGACGGTGATGGAACTACTTTGACATTTGAACTTCTGTGAATTCCATCTTTCTCCCCCACCCTGCTTATCTAATTGCTTATCAAGAGTCAACCTACAGCCTTAATGCAAATTCTCGTCACTTTATCACTGTCATATCTTTTCTGGACTGTTGCAATAGAACTAGTCTCTTCTGTGCTTCCACTCTTGACTCCCTACAATCCATTCTCCACATAGCAACCAAAATGATCTTTTTAAAATATAAATAAGATCCTGTTACCTCCAGCATAAAATCCTCTACCTACCTCTCCAACCTAGTTTTCTATTACCTTCCCCCTTTCTGTGCTCCAGTCACAGCCCAGGACTACTCCCACCTCAATGCCTTTGTACTAGCTGTTTGTCTACATGTCATGACATTCTGCCTAGATGCACACAAGACTATCTCTTACCACTCAGGTCTCAACTTAAATACCATCTCCTCACAAAAGTCTAAGGTAGCCCCTTATGCAGTGCCTAGTACATCAACCCTATTTATTTTACTCCTAGCATTTACAACTACCTTATACCTTATATTTACTTCATTATGTCTTTTCCCTAGGTAAAGCGTAAGTTCAGTGAGATCAGGGTCTTTGCCTTATTCCCAGCTCTAGTCCCAAAGTAGCACATAGTAGTCACTCAATAAATATTTGCTAAACAAATTAATGGATCTTAAATATTTTAATTAGACTAGAATTACTGAAAGATCAGTAAATTAAGAGATTTTCCTTTTATGTGATCTCTCCCAACTTCATAGATTCATAACATTTTATTTTTGTCTGTCATGATATATCAGCTTAATGAAATAAAATCTTTATCCAAGAAAAGAATCGTTTGCTCTTTGCTAATATTGCCAAAAGATTACAAAATATCTGCCTTTTTAACATGTCCTTTCCACTGAGTTCTCTCTTTGATAAGATAATTTTAACACACTGACTAGAAAATAAAACCAGACCAAGGAAAAATCTAAATAACTTTGCATAGCTAAGCACGTTTCTCCTACATGTCTGTTTCAACGCCTATTCGGTTTTGAGAACTAAAATATTAACTTTCAAATGTTCTAAGTAAGAGAAGAGGCTGCAAATAGCCTATTATTCAAACTTTGAATAATGTTAAAAGTGCTTCTGTTTTATACATCTTTTTTCCTATTTGGCAATGAAAAACAGCATTTAAATTCTTGGGGGGGG